ATTAACTGTAGTGCGGTTAAAAGTTCGTGGCGCAACTTATTGTCAAATATTTCCTCTACTAATCGAACATGAAGTCTCCTAATTTTTGGACAATGACTTGTATCAATTTATCTAAGCAGATTAATATTAATTGTAAACGTCTGTTAGCTGTATTATAGAAAATATTTGTACTTATAAAAGATAATCCAGTGGTTTTTTTCTACAGATTTTAAAAGGTTTACAGCAAGGACAATATTATTATCGCTTTTAAAAACAAGTATGTCATTTTTCTGGTAGCAGCATTGTGCTTATTGAATTTATATTTAGAGAACTTTTAGAGCAAAAAATGGCTCACTATAAAATTGATTTATTGTAACAAGTTTTGCTTCTAAAAAGCGTCATTGGTGAGCTGTGATGTAGGCCGTAATCGTACCCAAAATGTTTGTACGAAGCGGGAAGTACTGTAAACAATCTCATTTCCTGCGTGAAAGAGATTTATAGTATTCTATATATGAATTTATTGAGAAAAGTATTTTTTTTCATCTAGCCTCAATTGTTGTGGAAAAAATATGATTACGATAAGACAAATCGATACAAACTGCTGTGACATTGATTTAGATCTATCCGTCAAAGAGATATTTTAGGATAAGTTTCTCCTCGAATTTTCCACCGCACAATAAGAGATATGATAGAGCTGTATTCTACGACATTGATTTCGACATAAAATCGGGATAGACCACATTTGTTTCCAAAGGCACGTGCCCACATTTCTTCCCCAAATTACAGAATGACACTATGTGTTTAATCCTCTAATCACCGTGTCGACTGGAGTGGTCAGCAAATAATAATGATAATAATAATAAATAGCATTTGTAAAGCGCATGTCCCCACTAGAAAGCAAACTCTATGTGCTTTACACTATATTCCGGCTGACCATAGAACACTCAACCTGCTAACTGCTGCATGTACGTTGATAATGTTACCTCTATTTCTAAATAATAATTATTATCAACTTCCTTCATCTTACCCTGTTCCTTTCGTTATACCGGCGTCTGTGGTGTAGCGGTTAGACGCTTCGCCGTCACATGCAGGAAACCCGAGTTCGATTCCCGAACAGGACAACTTTTATCTTGTTTATCGGTCTTCATGCTGGTATGCTGTATT